CAGATCACATGATATTTTCGTGACTTGGGTAGCAGTGATGTGTTGCTAGATACCGCTTACTGTTTATTATGTTAAATATATAATTTAATATAATTACCAACGTTACGAAATCCTACAGGGTCACACACATAAGGACAGTTTGATGAGAGATAGAGAAATCAAAAAGGAACACCGTAAGGTACGGTGCACTTAAGGGAAAAATAGAAATTCGGATAATATAATAATAATTATTGTTATTTTATAATGGTTATAAAATAATAATAAAATAAATATATTTATTCTAATAATAGTTATTATAATAATATATAATATTATTATGGATTATGTGAATTGGGTTTTACCCCGCAGCCCACAAGAGAGTCTATAAAAGGAACCCTTGTGATGAAGCTTTCACTTGATGCAATTTCGTTTTTGATTCTCTTTTCTCACTCAAATAATTCCGTTCGTAAGCAGCTAGCACTGTGACCGGAAGCTGTTCGTGTGGACTGAGTAGAGGCGTTGCACTTCATCAACGCTTGTGATCGCTGCATCAAAGATCTGAATCGCCATAAAGAGGTAACGATTCTATCACTGACCATGCTCATTCGTAAGGATCACTAAAGGAAATTTTTGTTTTCCGCTGCGTTTAGATCGCAATTTTCCTTCACCTACCTCACCCACCTTCCTCTTTGTTTGCTCAAAGTTGGAGAAAAGTCTAGCTGATCTAAAATGAAGTCTGAGAACTTGACCATACTTTCCTAATATCATTATCAACAAACCATGCTGAGAGATATATCTCTTTAAAACTTATAAGAGACACTATTTTCGATCATGTTGATCCAAATCAAAAACTCAAAGATCGATCTCCAATTAAAGAAATAAAAGTTAAACTGCCATATCTAATTAAAAGAATATCACACAACAAAGACCTAAGACACATGTAATAAACTTCCATCTCGATTTGATAAAAATGTCAAATTGACTAAACAGATATACCTAATTCCCAAACCACTTTTACTACTGAATTTGCAAACATCTTTGCAAACATCTCACCACTTAACCCAATAAATTTAGAGTCACCCTTGACACCATCCTAAAGGTTTAACTGGCTTCTTCCAAATCCTTACAAACATATTAAAAAGATAAGAAAAAATATGAATGATATTAAACTCCAAACTAAATAAAACCACTTTGTCCCCCTAACCTAACGTACCTATAAATTAAAATTTTAAATTATCACTAAAACTAAAAGTGGTTACAACATTCATTCTATATATAAGACCATTGAGATCATCTGAATGCCTACCTCTGCTAATTAGATAAAGGTTAATACTGATGGAGTCTCAACATCTTCTTACTTAGCTTGTGCATAAATTTTTTCAGGAGTCATGCTTCAGATTTTGTTGTAGGTTTTGAAGAAAATTTACAGTCACAATACTTTTTATGCTGAGTTAGCTGGAGCAGTCAAGGCCTTAAAGATTGCTCACTCAATTCATTAAAACTTTCTTTGGTTGGAGACTGACTCTACAATGGCAGTATGGGTTAAGAAAATTGCAAGAGACTCACTAGTGTTATGGGCTTGTGGTCAGTCATGCCTTTAATGCTTTGTAATAGCTTAGATATGAACATGTTAGGCTTACCTAACTTTAAATTTGTTATTTGATGGAGGGTTTAGCCTAGTCCCATTTCTTTACCCCTCTTTTTCTTTTAATATTATTAACCTTTATTAAAAAAGTTTGCATAATATTTTTATTTCAATTGAACTCTTAATTTATATTACTTTTCTTTATAATATTATTCAAATCTTTAGTTAAAAATCAACTTAGCTACATTAATATAGGACCAACCACATTTCAACAGAAATAATATCAGCCATTATAAATTTAACTCACTTAATGTAATTTTCTAAAAATTATTTAATTAGAATATCTGTCAAATATTTACAATCAAATGTGATAAATAAAATTAATACTACAACTAACAACAATAAAAAGCAGACACATGGACATTAATACGTTCACGTTTGCATCAGCAATGATATATATAAAATAAAATCATGACAAACTGTTCTTGTAGATAACTAGATATATCCCACCCAACCATCCACTTGACCACTTGAGAGCAATATTTGTTATTTTAAAATTTGCTACCGCCATTAATATTTCACCTATAAAAGATCTCCTTCTAATGTAATGGAGTGAAGAAAACAAACTCACTTCAATTGTTTTTTTTTACTAATTAGTTCTGCTAACAAAATGGGATCTTTAAACACAAGAAAGAATAAACCACATGTTGTGTGCATCCCATATCCTGCACAAGGTCACATAAACCCAATGCTCAAACTAGCTAAACTTCTTCATTTCAAAGGTCATTTTCATGTCACCTTTGTTAACACTGAATATAATCACAAACGTCTTCTCAAATCTAGAGGTCCTAATTCTCTTAACGGTCTCTCCTCTTTTCGTTTTGAAACTATTCCTGATGGTCTACCTGAGTCCGACGTGGATGTCACACAGGATATCCCTTCCTTGTGCGACTCCACTAAAAAAACTTGCTTACCTCACTTTAAAAACCTTCTTGCAAAACTCAATAATGCTATCGAAACCCCTCCTGTTACTTGCATAGTTTCTGATGGTGCTATGAGTTTTACTTTGGATGCTGCTCAAGAACTTAATATCCCAGAAGTGCTTTTTTGGACAACTAGTGCATGTGGCTTCATGGCATATATGCAATATCATCAACTCATTGAAAAGGGCTTAATACCACTCAAAGGTAAATAAATCGTTTTTGGTTACATTTTAAAAAGTTAGATACTTTAAATTTTAGGAGTTAAGTATATTGTTTTTATAATATTTTAATATTTTTTAATTAAGGTGGAGTTTTTCTTTATCTTTTAGTTCTATGAAATTATTTTTTAAATAATTTAAATTATTTTTAAAAGAAAATATACTTAGGTATCGTTCAACTTTTTAGTCCTTTTTTGTAACAAGTTTACATCATTACTATAAAATTATTTCACTGTTTTAAAAGGATATAGATCAACTAACTATAATTCTAATTCTATTTTTTATTAATCAATTTTATTAATATTTTAAACATATTTTTCAAAAAATCATTAAAAATTTAAGTCAAATAAATTTCCAATATGATTATATAGGACACAAAATGTTAAAATTTATAAGCTTTAAATATAAGAAAATGTTTTGGAGACATATATGTAGGTGTATATGTATCAAGAAAGATAGAAATATAAAAAAAAAAATTGAGGTGATGGAAAATTTTAAATGAACATAGTAGAAATACATAACCATATTAAGAATAAGTTATAAATGTCAAGAACTACTTTTATATATTTTTATGGGATATAGGTCTTTTAAGTTATTTGTTTAGAACAGGATGTGTCTTAAATTTTTTTTTAATAAGTTAATAAATTAGTGCACTATAACCTTTTTTTTTCTTTTAATTTTTTATTGTACCAATCACGCAAAATAACATTAAATTACATAAAAAATACATAAAAATAACATTAAATTACATAAAATAATATTCTAAATATAGGAAGTAGCACCCAAAATACATAAAATATGATCCTAATTCAATAAATTTCTTAATTTAAAGAACTAACCTGTAAAAAAAAAAATCTAAAGGGTCAATCTGATACAAACAAATAACTTAAAAGATCTCTGATTTAATTATATTTTTTATAAATCAAATTTAATAATATTTTAAATATTTTTTTAAAATTTATTAAAAATTTAATTCAAATAAAATTTGCAATAAGATTATATAAACACAAAATTTTAAAATTAAAAGTTAAATATGTTTGTGGTCTTTCTAAATATTTCAAATTTTGTTTGTTTCTCAAAATATTTCTTTTAAAAAATGATCTTCATAAAACTTTTTATCCACAGTTTTGGTCTGTATATACTAAAATTGTCGCTAAAACTATTGTTAATTCAATTACTAAATAATAAATCGTTGCTAAAATTGTCACCAATTATGTCGCTAAGTTGTAAAAATTGTCGTTAAAACTATTGTTAATTCAATCACTAAATAATAAATCGTTGCTAAAATCGTCACTAATTATGTCGTTAAGTTGTAAAAATTATCGTTAAAACTATTGTTAATTCAATTATTAAGTTATAAAACCATTGCTAAAATCGTCATTAATTCTGCCGCTAAGTTGTAAAAATAGTCGTTAAATTACAGGAGTGGCCAAAAGTGTTGTTGAAATTTTTTTAAAAATATTTTGAACAATTAAAAACAATTATTAAAATATTTAGAAGGACTTCAAACATATTTAACTTTAAAATTTATAAACTTTAAATATAAGAAAATGTTTCGAAGACATATATTTAGGCAGGGTTGTTGATGGTTCAATTCAATGAGAAAATCGATCTGAACTAAACCAAACCATGTTAAAAATCAACTCAAACTTAATCGAACCGTTTTAATTTATTAAGAACCGACCGAACCAAAATTATTGGTTTGGTATATATACCATTTCAAAATGTTAAACCGTACCGAATCGTTAAAAGACAACTTTTTTAAAACTTAAAGAATCAAATTCTTAAACTATTTTTAAAATTTTTTTTAAATTTTTTTTAAAAATAAAATTTAACTTGTTTTTTTTTAATATTTTTTATTTTCACTAATCAAATATAACAACTTAGTTATTTTAACTTAATTTGATTCGATTCGAACTAAATCGTTCGGTTCATGATTTTTTTTAAAGCCTAAGTGTATATACATCAAGAAAGATAGAAATTAAAATATTTTGTGAGGTGATGGAAAATATTAAATGAACATAGTAGATTAGGTATATACACATATAATTGTCAGAAATACATAACCATACTAAAAATAAGTTATAAATGTCAACAACTACTTTCATATATTTTTGGGATATCTCTTTTAAAAGTAATGATTCACCGACAGAAATTTACCATTAAAATACAGTTATGATATATTTTTATGTTTAATGAAGTAAATAATGTGTTGGACATGCAGATTCAAGTTATATGACAAATGGATATTTGGAAACTATCATAGATTGGTTACCAGGCATTAAGGAAATACGCTTAAAGGATTTTCCAAGCTTCATCAGAACTACAGAACCAAATGATCTTATGCTTGATTTTATATTAGGAGAGTGCCAGAGAGCTGAAAAGGCTTCAGCAATCATTCTCAACACATTTGATGATTTGGAGCATAATGTTTTGGAAGCATTCTCTTCCTTAAATTTGCCTCCTGTGTATTCCATTGGTCCCTTGCATTTACTCTTGAAAGAGGTCAATAATAAAGAATTGAATTCAATTGGTTCTAATCTTTGGAAAGAGGAGCCTGAGTGTTTAGAATGGTTGAACCACAAAGAACCAAATAGTGTTGTTTATGTGAATTTTGGAAGTATCACAGTTATGACAAATGAACAGATGATTGAGTTTGCATGGGGACTAGCTAACAGTAAAATACCATTTTTATGGGTAATAAGGCCTGATCTTGTGGCTGGTGAAAACGCTGTTTTACCTCAAGAGTTTCTGGAAGAGACGAAAAATAGAGGAATGTTGTCAAGTTGGTGTCCACAAGAGGAGGTTTTGGATCATTCAGCAATTGGAGGTTTCTTGACACATAGTGGTTGGAACTCAACGATGGAAAGTGTGTGCGGCGGTGTTCCGATGATATGTTGGCCTTTCTTTGCGGAACAACAAACTAATTGTAGATTTAGTTGTCATGAATGGGGGATTGGTTTGGAGATTGAAGATGCTAAGAAGGACAAGATTGAGAGTCTTGTGAAGGAGTTGATGAATGGAGAAAAGGGTAAAGAGATGAAAGAAAAAGCTTTGCAATGGAAGAAATTGGCACAAAATGCTGCTTTGGGTCCAAATGGATCATCATTTATGAATTTCAAAAACCTCTTTAGTAATGTTCTTAAATGAGAGAAGTGCTAATTAGTATAGTTTTTTATTACAGTGTGAAAAGTGGGCATTTGGTTTAGTTCTTGATGAATTTAGCTTTATAAAAAACTTTTTTGAAATAAAAGTGTGTGTCTACGAGTGAGTTCTTCTTTTGGGTATTAATATTTAAAGATTGAATTTAATAAATTTAAGATACTGTTATCTTTTTCATGCAACGTTGAAGCGTTACATAACTCTTATGTATTTCTTTGGCTCTATCAAAGCATTTGTTTGCAACTCTTGGGCTTTTAAAGTGGAGAGGAGTTTGATTCTCATGGGTTCTTTTCATCGTCGACGAGACTTTTAATATGCTGTTTGCTGAGGATAATAATAAAAAAAAATATTTTTATGTCAGGATATAATTTAAATTGTATTTTAAATTCAAATTAGTTAGTGTTTGTTATGTTAATTAAAGTAATATATATATATATATATATATATATATATATATATATATATATATATATATATATATATATATATATATATATATATATATATATATATATATATATATATATATATATATATATATATATATATATATATATATATATATATATATATATATATATATATTGTAATTCAGTTTTAATAGTTTTCAATTATAAAAAATTCATCGGTTATTTTTCATTCTCTTTCATTCCTTCTCTCTCTCAAAGTGTCTCCTGCACTAACAAATTGATATTTACAATTTCTGGTTCGTGTTCTTGATCATGTTTTCAAGTACTTCACGTTGGTGGTCGTGTTTTCAGGGATCGTGAATCACAATTTCTGCTGAGATGAATGGTACCAATTCTCTTTTAATTCTTGACGACAAAAATTGGAATCGATGGAGTAAGCAAATGAAATCTTTGCTAGATTTTCATAAAACCCTAGAATTGGTCAACAATGACATCCCTTAGCTGGCTGACAATGCAACCAATGCTCAGAGAGTTATTCAAAAGGATGTGAAGAAGAAAGATTGCAAGGCTATGTATTTTATTCAATCTGTAATATATGCGGAAAACTTTGATCGGTTTTCTCATGTTGAATTAGCGAAGGAGGCATGAAATATTCTTGTCAAGTATTACGAAGGAGGTGAGAAGGTTAAAGTCGTCAAATTGCAGATGTTGCGAAGGCAATATGAATTACTACAAATGGGAGAAGACGATAAGATTGTAGGCTATGTCTCGAAGGTGTTTAATCTTGTCCATCTCATGAAAGGTTGTGGTAAAACCCAACCTGATATGATGATAATTGAGAAGGTAATGCGTACGTTGAACTCTCAATTTGATCACGTTATCGTAGCCATTCAAGAATTCAACAATCTTAAAGCTATAAAAATGGAAGATTTGGTTGGTTCGTTGGAGGCACATGAAATGAGGATTGTCGAAAGGAAAGGTGTTCAAGATTTGATACAAGCACTACAGGTCCAGACATGGAAGAAACATGGTGGTTCCAACAAGTTTAAGGGCAAATGAGATAAGACTCAAAGTAATAAATCTTAGTTGAACCCTCAAAAGTATAAGGTCAATGATAGAACTTCTGAATTCTCCAAAAGAGGAGAAGAAAACTCATATCAGAAAGACAAATAAGAGAAAAAAGGTGTGTAGGGCTATAATAGTGAAAGTGGGGTCACTTAGCCAAGAATTGTTGGTACAAGAAAGACAAGGGAGCGACAAATTGCAAGGAGAAAGGAGAAAACCTTACATGCAAAGATTCAGATGATTATGAAGATATGTTAGTTATAGATGCAATTGCAGATGACCTTGTCGACTCTAAAATATGGTTCCTCGACACAGACTGCTTGAATCATTTGACTGGTAGGAAAATGAGGTTGGCAGATTTTGACGAGTTTAAAAAGAGCAACGTCAAACATGCAGATAATAACTCATTGCAAGTAGGAGGTACTAGAAACATAATTATTCAAAGGAGGAATGAAGTAAAATATATGATCAAAGATGTACTCTATGCATCTAGAATGAAATGCAACCTGCTAAGTGTTGGACAACAAGTCGAAAAAGGTTTCTCGGTGGTTATGAAAGATGGAGCCTTGGAACTGTTCGACATCGAGAATAGTTTGGTCTTAAAATCTCCTATGTAGAAAAATAAGACATTTAAGACCATGATCAATTCGACTGAGGTACAATTCCTCAAAACAGTTGTCGACAACAAGAATAGATGGTTAAAGCATTTGAGGTTTGACCACTTGAGTTTTAGGTCACTCAATCAACTGATTACTCAAGATATGACAACTGGTATACCAAGTCTTGAGATTCCCGACAAACTCTTTGTAGGTTGCTGAGTAGGGAACCAATCTAGAAATTCTTTCATTTCAACTATGCCAATGAGGTATCTGTGAACATGTAAAGGTGGCGAATATACATCCAAGATGTTTGAAGAGTTATGTGCAGAACATGGTATCGATCAGGAGCTATCTGCTCCTTACGCGTCTCATTATAATGGAATAGCAGAAAGAAGAAACAAAAGAATTTTCCAAAATCCTTATGGGGTGAAGCTGTCACACTGTTGTTTATATTTTGAACCGGTTCCCTACCAAAATGTTGAAGAACAAGGTTCTTGAAGAAGTGTGGAATGGAAAACGATCATCAGTGAGTCATCTGAAGGTGTTTGGTTATATTTTCTACAAGGATATTTGTGATGCTAGGAGAAGGAAGGTTGATGATAAGAGTGAACCTGTGATTCTAGTAGGATATCATAAGACTAAAGCATACAGGCTATTCAACCCAATGAACAATAAAATCTCGATGAATCGAGACATTATGATTGGTGAGAAGATTGAAATTCAGGTAATGCAACTAATAAGCCATATATGAGCTATGAAGTTGATTAAGAAATTAGTGAGCACGAAGAAATTCCAGTTAATTCCACTCCAGAAACAATCGAAGTCGAAGATGATAATATGTTTGAAGTCGAAGCATATAATTGAGAAGGTGTGGCTAGCACAACGAAAAACCTCAAAGAAACAGAGTAATCCCAATAAGGCTTTAAGACTGTCATGGAGATTTGGTTCATTTCGCCTTACTTGAATTTGTCGAACCTATCAGCTACAACGAGGCCTTCAAAGATAACCAGTGGAAGGAAGTTATGGTAGAAGAGTTACAAGTGATAGAAAGAAACAACACATGGAGATGTTTTAATTTCCAACGCACACAAAAGCTATCAAAGTGAAGTGGGTGTTCAAGATAAAGTGTACAATCCGGATGGGTTGATTGCGAGACATAAAAAAAGATTAGTAGCTCGAGGATTTCTTCAGAGAGTAGGACTCGACTACTTTGAAGTATATGCACCAGTAGTATGATTGGAGACTATTCGATTAGTGGTATCCTTGGCTGCAAGCAAGGCTGATCGACATTTCACTTAAATATGAAATCAACATTTTTGAATGGTCCCCTAGATGAAGTCGTGTATGTCATATAACCTCATGGGTTTGCGATACAGAAGGAAGCAAGGAAAGTGTAAAAGTTGCACAAAGCCCTCTATGGTCTCAAGCAGACACCTAGGGCTTAGAACAAGAAGATCGACTCATACTTGGTCGAATTGGGATTCATCAAATCCAAGTTTGAGTATGGTATCTATGTTCAGGTTGTGTCACAAGATATAACATCATATGCTTATATGTAAATGACTTGCTAGTGACGGGAAATAACATGAAGAGCTAAGTTAAAAAGCTGATGAAGAAGGAATTTGAAATGTTGGATATGTGAGGGCAAAGCCTCATATATAGACGTGCTCGTTTTGATGATGTCAAAACTCAGCTCCATAGAAGAATATATGTTGGACGTTATCACCATGTTGCATTTACATGTCTTGTTTCTCATAATTCAAATGCTCTTATAAACTATCACGGTTGTTGCATATAGATTGTCAAAAATTTGTGTCATATGAGGTTGACTTAGTTGGTGTCGTTTTCCATATCATAGGTTTCATCAAAAGTGTCGAAATGCACGAAAATAGGCATTTTTGAGTGTTTCAAGGCTTTGAGTCGACCAAAGACCTGTTCCGATCGACTCTCACTGTAAGCAATTTTAGTGCATTTGTCTTGGGAGGGCTCGCGTCGACCCTCCTTTCGACTCATACTGTAAGCATTTCTGTTTGGCTAAAAATGCATGTTACGTGTCGAAGCATGCTATGCTCCGGACGACGCATGGTTCTGATTTTTGCACAATCTTACATTCGGGACTGCTCAGGTCGACTCTCCTTACAGAATTGGTCGACCGCTCGCTGTTTTATGTTCAAATTATGTTATGTCAATTGTCTTTGTGAATTGGTTTTGATTGTTATGTCAGTTATGTTTGGTATATAAGTTCAGTTGCTCTTTCATTTCATAATATTGAGAAAAACAAGAAAAGTGAAATAGGTGTTGATTTGGTTCTCTTCATAGCATTTCACAACAATTACACATAATCATCTTTGTTATGCATTGTGAAATGTTAAGAGATAATAACGTCCAAAGCCAAAGATTGGTTTATCTGGTTTGGGTTAAGGAATCGACAAGTTTTTCTTGAATAAAAATGCTAGGGTTTTATCCTCTAAGATTCTCAGATTTTAGGGGTGTTTGCACGATTCGTCTCATCACAATTCAGCCGAGTGAAGGTAATCGAGGAGCTAGAGGTTATGTCGATTTAGTAACGGTAAACGGAGGATTGTGAGTGGGAGTTTCGGGTTCGAAACGCGGGTGATTGAAATCAGCTGGGCCAGACTTTCAAGACCGAAGGTTGTTCAAATATAGTGCCGCAATCGGGGTTTATTCACAGCTGTCAAAGTACTTCATTCAACTTGAATCAAGGGGCAAGAAGAAATAGGATCTACAACAATAATAGTGTTCGTTTGTTCGATAACTATTCGCTTCTTGTAAAAACTTTCAACAACAGGTTATATCTATCTATTAACAAGTCTCAATTCTATTATTAGAATTGAGGGCAGACGTACCCCGAGCGAGGACGACGGGGGAAATGCCTCAACAAATTGTTGTGTCT